TTCAATCATCAGGGCAACTAGACAGAGCTGTATTCCTAAAATACTGGACTTGTCCACACCTGTCATCTTAGCATTGGCCCTAAATATCTTTGAATCTTGAGGAATTTTTTTCTCTATCTTTAACAATGCCTATCTAATAACTGAAAGAAACCTAGAAGGACATCTGAAGCTTATTGGATCCACCCAGAAAATCTTAGAAACATCTTTTGATGCAAGTAGTAGATTTCAAGTTGAATTGAGGATTATGGGTAGGCTCTATGAATTCCTTGAAAGTATATTCACATTATTATGTAATTCAAACATAAGGATTTTTTTTAATACATTGACTTTTTCTTATCCAGTGAGGTTGTAGTAGATTGTGTTACTACTAAGAACCTACTAGGAAAAGGTAGAAAGCATAGGTTGTTATAAAATCCTGACTTCCACTTCCACCATTTAGCAGCAGAGTGGGTTTGAACAATGATCACTGCAAATGTGATCTGTAAAATGGAGAAAATAATGGTGTCAAACCTTGAAGTGCTATGTGACATCCAGTGAAATTAGGTAGAGATAATTGTTCATGGTACAAAATATGTGCTCAATAAAAATCAATCTCATCAACAAATATTTATTGAGTGCCTAGTTATGACATTTACTCTTCTGCATCTCAGAGTCAGAGTCATGATATAAAACCTATGCTCTCATGGGGCTTCTGTACCAGTCAGTCCATATTGTATGATGTTACCCAGTCAGTATTCATTCAACATACTTATATAAAGTACCTGAGCCACAATTCTGGCAATGATGCTAAGATGGAGAACATAATCATGATCCCATGATTTTTGTACTTGGGTAACATGAATAGATCAGACAGTGGTTAAAAAGCAAAGAAGGAAATTAAATTATGATAGACCATTAAGGAAGTAAACAGTGGTGGCTAAGAAGAACAATATGGATGTGGAAGAAGGTACTGATTTTGAGTGAGATGCTAATACTAAGCCCTTCAGCCATAATGACATTCGATCTGATATTTGGAAGAAGGCGATGATCATGAGAAGTGAAGGCTGGTGTTCTCACTTTCTATTCCTGTTGTACTAAATTACCTCACACTTAATGAATTCAAACAGCACTGATAATCTCCAGTTTCCATGGATCAACAACACCGGTACAGTACACCTGAGGTAGATTCTTTGTTTAAGGCCTCTAGGGTCAGCATCAAGGAACAGTCATGGCTACAGTCTCTACTTAAGTCTCTGAAGAAATATCCACTTCCAAGCCCATGTCTTTTATACATTTTCTACATGTCCTTCCATCACCAAGACAGCAAGGTTGTCTAGAGAGAATCTCATGCTTCAAATATCTCTGACTTATTTTTCTTCTCTACTGCAGTGCTTCTCAACCTTCCGAAAGCTGCAACCCTTTAACACAGCCTCATGTTGTGCTGACCCCCTATCATACAATTATTTCATTGTTACTTCCTAACTGTACTTTTGCTACTGTTATGAATTGTAATGTAAATATCTGTATTTTCTGATGGTCTTAGGTGACCCCTATAGATGAATTTCTAAGTGGTCTTATTAAATAAAAAACACAGAGCCAAATACAGGGGTGAAAGCCTTAGAGATCAGGGAAATAGGAATAGCTACCAGCCAACTTTACCTCACCAGCTCTGCAGCTTCTAAACTGTGAGCTACTTCCTGTCTACCCATGCCCTAATATGCCTTGCTTTTCTGTCCTCTCATTGGCTCTTAGCCCAGCTATCTCACTTCCTTGTCACTGCCTGTTTGTACAGACCTCCAGGTCTCTACGGTTGGTACTGGAATTAAAGGTGAGCATCACCACGTTTGGCTCTGTTCCCTAGTGTGACCTTGAACACACAGAGACCTGCCTGATAAGTGATCGGATTAAGGGCATGTGCTGCCTGACTTTGTTTACTTAAAATGTCTGGCCTTTTCCCCCTGATCTCAAGGTAAGCTTTATTTATCAAAGCACAAGTAAAATATCACCACAGACCCCTGTGAAAGGATTGTTCAACCCCCCAAAAGGGTTGTGAACCACAGATTGAGAACCGCTGGTCTAGTGACTTTGAGCCTATATGGAGAATCCAGGACTGTCTTCCATTTTAAAGTCAGTTTATAAGTCTGGGTTACCTTACTCAGGATGACATTTTCTAGTTTCATCCATTTGCCTGCAAATTTCATGATGTCATTGTTCTTTACAGCTGAGTAATACTTCATTGTATGTATGTACCACATTTTCTTTATCCATTCTTTGGTTGAGGGGCATCTAGGTTGTTTCCAGGTTCTGGCTATTACGAATAATTCTGCCAGGCCAAGATCCAGGAGTCCAGTCGAAGAGAGGGAAGAGGGATTATATGACCAAGGGAGGGGTAAGATCATGATGGGGAAATCTACAGAGACAACTGAACCAAGCTAGTAGGAACTCACAAACTTTAGACGGACAGCTGTGGAACCTGCATGGGACTGGACTAGACCCTCTGCATAAGTGAGATAGTTGTGTAGCTGGGTCTGTGTGAGGGGCCCCTGGCAGTGTGATCAGGATATATCCCTGGTGCATGAGCTGATTTTCTGGATCTCATTACCTATGGTCAGACACCTTGCTCACCCTTGATGCAGAGGGGAGAGGCTTGGTCCTACCTCAACTAAATGTCCCAGGCTTTGCTGTTCCCCCATGGGAGAACTTATTCTTTTGGAGGAGAGGATGAGGGGGGAAGGCAGGGGTGGAGGCAGTGCGGAGAGGGGATGAGAGAGGGATCTGTGGTTGGTATGTAAAATGAATAAAAAATTTTGTAAATAAAAAAATAAATAAAAAGGTTAAAGACAAAAAAATAAAGTCAGTTTATTCTTAACCTTAAGTATATCTACACAAGTCTTTTTCACATGTCATATAACATGGTCTCCAGCATGACACCAGAGGCAGAAAGAAAGTAGGGGTAAAATCTCCTAAAATATTCATATGTAAACATACAATATCTACACATGTAAGTCTTCGCTAAATCTGATGCTATCTTTTATAGTCTAGTATAGTCACGTAGTAGCAGGGATAGTGGTTTCAGCAAAATTTATGAGAGCACATACAATCCCTTCACTTTCCGATTTTTAAGACAGTTTTGGTGAATTGACCATTTCATTTTATTCCACTTTCATCAACTAGCTACTTTGATGTTCTTGTTTCACACAAGAACACTATTCTCTAGGAGGCAATCAGAAAAAACATTTTTAAAGAGAAAGGGATCTATCAGACATCAGAGTCAGCTTGATGTAAAATCTGGGTCCTTCCAGTATTATCTGGCCTTCTTTACTGAGCCATCCAGCTAGTTATTAGAAATACATTATTACTGTGGGAATGCATCTAAGGTCCAAAAGCTACACAGATAAGAAACCTGCAGATTTCTAGTAGAATGTATCAAAAGGAGTCAAGAGTTCTGGGGCCTGGATCCTAGGTGGGTCCTTTGGTCCCAAGGTTTAAACATTTTCTGAATCTACTTGAAAGTCTAACCAGATAAGACTCCTAGAAGCTTCTCTCCTACAGTTCTTTGAGCAAAGGTGGCTGGACCCACAGTTTTTGGGTCCTAGGCCCCAGAATTTCCTTATCCAACCTTCTCTCCTCTCCTTTCTTCTCCTCTCCTCTTCCCTCCCCTCCCCTCCCCTCCCCCCTCCTCCTCTCTCCTCTCTAGCTTTTATGAACTTTGTATGTGTGTTTTTTGAAGCTCTTAGACTTTCTCCCCTATTGTCTCATTCTGTTCCTTCTTTTACATACTTACCTGAATTTTCAACACCACACATTTCCTAAATAACTCTCTTGTACTTATGCTCATTATTTCTACGTTTATTGTACGTCTGGGGGCTGGGATACCACTTGTCCATTCCTGCCACTCACATGTAATTTTTTAGCTCATCCATGGTCAAGGTATACATTTCCATATCTAAAGTTTCATTAGCACTATTATTAGGCCTTTTCTATTCATCCTCCAATTTTCCCAACATCATATACATTGAATAGTGGGAAAGAGTTTCTATCGTACCCAGCATGTAGGTGTCAGATTTGTGAGAAAGGACTTGAAGGTAGCAGCACTATTGGAGTCTTGAGAGCCTGGGTTGAAGTAGCTGGGAGCAGACTGAAGAGGTACTGGAATGTGCACTTAAGGTTTGGGGGAGATTCTAGTAACTGAAAAAGAAAATTAGCATTGTTATCCCCTTCGGGCAAACTTACATAGCTCCAGTGGGGTGAGGCCTGTGTACTGCCATATTTGCTTTATCTAGTTACTACATGGGTAACCTCTTTAGTGATGATGGAAGAGGGGGATGGGGAGACAGAGAGAATAGGAGAGAAGTTGAGAGACTGCTGGAGAAGGCACTAAAATGGATAAAAGAAAAATCGTTCCAGTATCTTGAGAATATATTTGAAAAAGTGTGGAGAGCACACAATAGTCTGATTCTAGCAATTTTCTCTGAATGAGAAAGAGTATTTCTGCAAACTATGGCCCAGGGACAGTCCTCTTTTGTATCAAATTATTATTGTAATGGCAAACATTTATTGAATGCCTTTTATTTGCCCAAACTCATTTAATCCTCACAATGGCATGAAGAGATAGAGGCTATTATGTTTGCGTTTCCAGCTAGGAAAATGAGTTGTAGAGAAAGGAAGTAAGTAGTTCAAGGTCACATGTCTGGTAAGTGACTGGACCAGATTTAAGGCCAGACGCTGCCACGTACTGTACCGGTTAATATCACCACTGTGCTCTGCGTGCTCTGTTGTCTGGTCAGCGAACTACTGTACAGACCAGGAAGCCCTGCTTCGTCCAACTCACCTCTGTTCTAAATTCTTTTCCTCCTCTTTGCTTCTATCCCCTCCTCCCTGACTTCCAATATTGTGTGTGTGTGTGCACGTACACGTACACGAACACACGTGCATGCACTTGTGAATATTAGGACTGTGTGATATGTTTGAATATGGGCATTTGGGAGATACATAATACATGTAGAAGTCAGAAGACAACATCAGGTGTTGATTTTTTCACTTTCAACTTTGTTTGATCCAGGGTTTCTTAGTGTTTGCCATTGCATATGTCAGGCTGTCTGGCCCATGAGCTTCTGGGGATAGTCCCTTATCTGCTTCTCATCTTGTCATAAAGAGCACTGGGTCTGCAGACACACACTACTCCATCCGGCTTTACATGGCTTCTGGGGATCTGAACTCAGGACCTCATGCTTACACAGCAGACATTTCACCCACAGAGTCACCTCCTTAGCCCTTTCAATATTTTTTGAGAAGACAAAAGATTAGGAAATGGGAAAGATTTGTAATGGGAATACAGTTAGTTCACAGCAGAAAAACATTGAATTCTGTACTGAAGCACATATTAATGACTAAAAAATCATAAGCTATCTTCATGTTAGCCAAATTCTTATGTTGTCTTTTCTGTGGAGGAAATGAAAAACCTATATATCCCTTCCATGACTCCTCCAGGGTCACCCATCTGCTGGATGTGTTAAAACCCAAGACTCTAAGCTCCATGTCCTCAACTCCTGTCCTTTACCCTGGCTTCCTCCCAGAAGCCTCAGCTCTGGGGCCAGGCTTCTCTGGTCCCTGATGTTTTTCTCTCGCACTTCTCTCACTTCCTCTTCAAAGTTACTTGCCAAGCCGTCACCAGAAATGGGAGTTGTATTTTAATTTTCTGGATGATTTCCTGACTGGTCACATTCTCCTTCGGTGATTACTTCTGATCATTGTCTTTTCTCAACAGCAACTCATCCGTGTAAAACCTACGAAGGAAAGAGAGCTCGCTGCTGTTCTATGCCTAAAAAGCCAAGAAACCTAACCCCTTCACGTCAAAAATTAAACACCAGCAAAAAGAATAATTCTATTTTCTTTAAATACTTTCAATTTGAGAGAATGGTTTTGTTCCCCATACTTTTTGATATTGCAAAATATAATCAAGGTCTCTTTCTCTCTCTTTCTCCCCCCTTCCCTCCAACTCTCCCTCCCCCCACCTCCCCCCCCCCCCAATTTCCCTCTGACAGGCAAATGACTTACTCATAATCATGCTGCTACAGAAACAAGGCTGGGGATCTGAACTCAGAAGTTCATGCTGATACAGCAAGCCCAGGCATCCCCTCCTTATTTCCGGAGTCCCTTGTAGTCCTTCCTGAAGAGAGTCTGGATGTTAGGAGGCTGCTGTGTGACAAAGATGGTAGATGGTACTCATGAGTGACGGGAGATATCACTTAGAGGAATAAGGAACAATTAAGGCACTCAAGATAATGCCATATATGTAAAGTGTTCATTTTCAAGGAGACCTTCCTGAGTCCTGTGGTTTTGCAAATCTTTTTAGTGTTAGTGGAGTAGGTTGCAGCAGCCTCTGAGGTCTCTTCTTAGCCAGCTTCATCTGAGTGGGTGCATTGGGTGAAAGAGTAAAAGGCAACCATGTCCATTTCTTTGTCTTTTAGCAGAGTACCCCTTGAACAGCTCAGCATAGTGTAGCATGAATCTTAAAAGTTCTTATTAATAAAAACAAACCTGGAGCAGGTATTGGGGTGAACGCTGGAAGATCAGAGAAGCAGAACAAGCCACCAGCCACCTCACCTTGCCAATTCCTCAGCTGATCCTGTTTCCTCAGACTGGAAGCTTCTGAGTCCTCGTCCAAATGGATCTCAGCTGAACTGCTACTCACAGCCTGAAAGCTTAACCAGGCCAAAAGCTTCTAGTTTCTGATCTTCACGCCTTATACCTTTCTGCTTTCTGCCATCACTCCCTGGGATTAAAGGCTCACTTTCTGGGATTAAAGGCATGAGTCACCATGCTTGGCTGTATCCTTGAACACACAGAGATCCAGGTAGATCTCTGCCTCTGGAATGCTAGGATTAAAGGCATGAGTGCCACCATTTTCTAGCCTTTGTATCTAGTGGCTGTTCTGTCTCTGACCCCACATAAGTTTATTAGGGTGCACAATATTTCGGGGAACACAATACCACCACAGCGTAGTTTACATTCATTCCTCTTTTTTGTCACTTATTTTATAATTCTAACATGATTTTGCGGTTAGAAAGATCTTTGTGCATCTTAAAATTTTTCTTCCTTTAAAGAATTCTTTTTAAGTAAATAGTGGGATCCACGGCCTTCCAAGGGAATGTGAGGAAGCCCCTTTCCTCACACCTGACATGAATGAGTCCAGAATACCCAAAGGGGAGATATTGCTTGAGCTCTAAATTTGGAAATCAGATAATGACTCTAAATTCTCTTTCTTTATTCCTGCTTAAAGGAATCAGTGCAGAGGGTCCCTTATATTTATAATGATTTCATATATATTTCATGATACCATACGGTGATTTGCATTCCTTAGAAATCATATTTCCAATTTTAAATATTAATAATTCCCTAAGCTTGCCCCAAGGGTATGGACATCTCTCAAAGATACATGGCAGCACCAGTCATCTGAAGCTCCAAGTCACCCATAAGATTTCAAGAACGAATAAGCAATACTTAGCCTTGTGCTGTGCCACTACTCAGGGGTATTTAGTAGGCGGTTTGTATTAAATGCATTTTGGACTTCAGGATATATTCAACTTAACAATAGGTTTATCAGAATATAACCCTTTCATCAGTCAAGGAACATTTTTAGCCTAATCTCTAAGATATTCCTATTCAATCTATTGAACATCCTACAAATAAAATGTAGACACTATGGAATACACAATTTAACAACTACTTAGATGATCTTACCTTCTAGAGTTCGAGTGTTAAAGGTTCTAGACTTGATCAGAGCTGGTTTTGGTCCTTTGGCTAGTGGATTTCTTGGACCTTCATACACCAGACTCTTTTCAATCCAGTTTTCCTATTTATTGAAGGAAGCAATAATGGTGCTTAACCTCCTCAAGTTTTAGGGGAATGAAATGTTTAGCAGGTGATGCACAGTAAAGCTTCCAGGAACTGTTAGCTCGACTGTTGCACCTTCTACTGTACACACTCCTGCTAGTTTTGTTTTAAGTAGCACTACCCATTCTGTGAAGCAGAGGCTGGCACGGAGATGGAAAAGGCTTTCTAGAGACCACTCAGTGTATCTATCTTCTTATTCTAGAACCCCTTAACAGGGTACTGCTGGCTCCTTCAGTGACAAGAGTTTCAGCTCACAGCATGAGTTCCCAGCTTCCTGAGTGCACTATAGGACACCACTGAATACTCCCTTCAGTTCTCTCTTCTTTCCATCCTTCCTGGAGGAGGAACGAAGTTCAAGTCTATAAGAGCAATTGAAAAATCTCAACAAGTTTTCCTTTCTCTTAATTTTGTATGTTTTCCCAGGGTTTCTGTCTTTCTCTCCTTTCTTCTTCCATTTCCATTGCAGTGAAAGTGGGCAGTTGAAAGGTACTGGGGGCAGGGAGATCTCACCTAGGTTTCTAGGTAATTACTGAGATAGATTTTGTGTCCTTGGAGAGTAACTTCCTTTTTGGCCAGGCTTGAAAATCTCTCCCATTTTGAGCTTCACACAGTCTCTGGTTCCTTTCTTCAGAATGTCTGCATTTCTATTGAGAACAAGAAACAGGCTAATACCCCCTCCCTATCCCGGGCCCCTCTTCCACTTCTCCAGACACCCACTTCCTTTATTGCAGCTGCAGCTGCTGGGTCAGCCTGGGAGTCTAAACCCCCTTCCTCACAAGCCTTTTCCCCAGGTAAAAATAAATAAAATGTCAGTGAGCTGATTGCTTTTTGGACTGCACCTCACCTCTTTCTTCCTGTTTGGAGCTTTCAGGTTTCTTAGTGGAAACTACAAACCTTGCCTTGACTCCAGGGTGGGTGTGATTTCCTTCTTCCTGGCTCCTGTCCCATCCCCCACCCCCACTCCTTCCTTCCCCAGCTTGACTCTCTTATCTCTCTAATTGGAATTTCTCACCAGCTAAGGGGTTTCATCTTCTCCCAAATTACTAAATGTCTGGAAAGGATGAGGGAACTTAATTTTCTATAACCCACCCAGCAATTTAAGCCAAGGAATGAAAACTTGTAATTTGTTTTACCCAAGACTCTCTAAGCAACCTTAAAGCCACTGTCACTGGTAGTACATTTGGTTTGGAGAACCAAATTCATCAGGTTGTCTCAAATAAGTTTATAAAAAGTGTGCTTGCCTTACAAACACACCTCAGAAAATATTTCTTAATCTTTATGAGGTCCACCAATTTGCTTCATAGACATAGAAAATGTAAATACAAATGGTAATGGCTACATGGAGGGAAAGTCATTGGGCTTTTCTTTTTTTTTTTTTTTTTTTTTTTTTTTTTTTTTTTTGGTTTTTCGAGACAGGGTTTCTCTGTGTAGCTTTGCACCTTTTCCTGGAACTCACTTGGTAGTCCAGGCTGGCCTCGAACTCACAGAGATCCGCCTGGCTCTGCCTCCCGAGTGCTGGGATTAAAGGCGTGCGCCACCACCGCCCGGCACATTGGGCTTTTCTATATTAAGCGAATTCCAGATCTACAGATTCAACCAAATGGATTAGATTTTTTTTTATTTCAGAAAACCCCCAAAAGCAAAATGTGAGCTTGCTGTGTGATAAACACCGCACCAAACCCATGTGAAGGAAAGTGTTGGGAGGCATAGCTTGCTATAGTCCCATGCCATTCCATAGACCCTCAACAGCGCTTTAGCATTCATTACAGTGGCAGTATTAAATTGAACTGGTGAGGTGGAAAATAAGTATTCTATTCCCTTCCTAGAAATAAATACAATATTTAGTCTATGTGTGTTTGGGGGTTGTAGTCTTTACTCTCCCTCCAGTATATCACAATATAATGCAGAAGTCAGACCGAAATCAAAGATGACTCTGGGCTGCGGATGTAGCTGTGGTAAAACCTACTTCACTTGTGCTGGAGAGGTGGATTAATGATTAAGAGCACATATTGTTCTTGTAGAGAATTTCCAGCACTGATATCAGGTAGCTCATCACTACCTGTAACTCAAGCTCCAGGAAAACTGACACTCTTCTTCCATCCTCATATGCAGATACACACACACACACGCACACACACACACACACACACACACACACACACACACACACACACACACACACATTATATACGTGTGTGTATATGTGTGTGTGTATAATTAAAATGTCTCTAAAAAACCACATTTGACTACCACACACAAGTACGGATGTTTGTTTAATCCTCAGCACTGTATAAATAATTCAAAGACCAATCAACAATTCCAGTATAGTATATTCTGTGAGAGAGAAGGGAGAAATGCAGAGAATGGACACTGCTTTAAGGTTGGAGATCGTGAAAGACTATCTATAAAAGGACCCCTGGAGAAGAGTTTTCCAAACAAACCACGTATTGCAACAAGGTGGAAATCCCAACAGTAAGAATCACACAGAGAAATTCACAAGTCTGCAAAAGTATAGGATGTGGGAGGAGCTACAGGTGTTTTCATATTATTGGAGTAGAAAGTGGACCAGTAATAGAATGGTAGATGGATGAAGCTAGGGAGAAAATAGAGAATAAGTTTAGAGGACCTTTATATGTCATACCAAGGAGTTTGGACTAGTTCTAATGGAGAGAAGGAAGCTATTGAAATAATTTGTGGACTTTCCAGATGTATAGATATGCCTGTTGTTAGACTGGTAGCAGTGTGGATGGTACGACTGGAGAGGTTGACATTAGGAGAGGGAAGACCGGAAGTAGGAAGATCTGCTAAGAAGTGATTGCAACAAGTTATTAATGACAGTGAGTGCCTAAATAAAGGCAGTATATGATGCATATGAAATGATTGGAGAATATATATATATATATATATATGACAGTGAAAAACCATCACAGGACATGAGATCTCCTAGAAGAAATATGTTTAGTGAGACCTGGAGAAACACAACATGAAGTCTCAAAGAATTTCTAGCATTTAAGTAGAAGAAAAGAGGATTTACGAAAGGTTGGTACTTGCCTTATACTACATCTTTGGGAACTGTGGGATCTTTGATTGTTTTGTTTTTCAAGACAGGGTTTCTCTCTGTGTATTCCTGGCTGTCCTAGAACTTACTCTGTAGACCAGGCTGGCCTTGAACTGAGAGATCCTTCTGCCTTTGCCTCCAGAGTGCTACGATTAAAGGCATATATCACTATGCCAGGGGCAGAACTGTGGGGTTTAATGAGAAACCTCAAAAGAGCAGCTTCTGTCTTTCATCTTGA